GAGTCCCCTCTCACTGTACTTAAAATAAGAGAGCTGTGTACTTGTGCTCTTCCTCCTTTGAACTCAGATCACGGTTCTGCTAAAGAAATGCTCTTCATGAAAATCCTCCTTCCATACATCCAGTCCTTAGTTAACCTATTTTGAAATTTAGATTATCTTCTGGCAACTCCTGCTGAAATTTCACATCTATTTTTTCTTAGCGCCTCTTTCAAAACTTCTAATTCCACATCCTGCTATAGAGTAGTCAGCATTTCTTAATTTATGATAGAGCAATTTGGCAACATTCCAAATTCCTTAAGCCTTTGAATATTGTTACAATCATCTTTTGTGACTATGATACAGTTAGAATGAAAATTCTTTATTTTTGCACTTTCTAAGTTTTCCTTTGTATAGTTCATGTATCTTATTGTTCATTTTATTTACATTGGATTGCAATTCATAAATCCTTAAAGTCAAGAGGTTATGAATAGTGCAATCCATGCTGGGGGAATTTTCTAGTACATTTTTGTGTTGATTGTTTACATCAAGAGGCTTCAAGAGCACACAAGAAACCATAAAAATTAGGTGACTTGTTGACACCTGAGAAGAAAATAATCAGCTTTTCATTTTAAATAGCCACCAGAATTACAACAGAATGCATGTTATTCTATTCACAGCACTGGACAAAACCAAGAAAGAATGAGGAAATAGGTAACCATATGGAAGAGGGTGAACTTTATCCAGTGTCTCATATTTACTCTGTGAAATGAGTTGAGGTTTCACACAGACTATATACATGACTCCAGTAGACATTAAAAATAATATTAGGGGCTGGGGTTGTGGCTCAGGGGTAGAGAACTTTCCCAGCATGTGTGAGGCACTGGGTTCGATCCTCAGCACCATATAAATACAAATAAATAAAATAAAGTTCCATTGACAACCAAAAATGTTTTAAAAAATATATTAGTACTTTGCAGGACAGACTTTTTTCAGAGCCAGGGATTAAATTCAGGGGTGCTTAACCACTGAGTCATATTCCCCAGCCCTTATTGTTTGTTTTCAATTTTGAGACAGGGTCTCACTAAGTTGCTTAGGGCTTCCCTAAGTTGCTTATACTGGCTTTGAACTTGTGATCCTCCTGTCTCAGCCTCTTTAGCTGTGGGGATTACAGGCGTGCACCACTATGCCCAGCGGACAGACTGATTGCTAAAGTGACTACACTACCCAGAGAATCCTGTTTATTAAAAAAAAAAAAAAAAAATCGCCCTGGTCATTGTGTCAAGTTCTCATGGCAATGGAGGGGATAGTAAGTTGATTAGGGATATTGGGATTGGAGAAGAGAGGTCCTGTATAATCATGCAGATTAGGCAAGTTCTTCGTGGTCCAAAACTGCACATTTTTGGATATACTACAAATTTATCTGTTTTGGTTGTTAACTGTGAGTCTTTCCCACTACGATAGAAGCTTCAAGAAGGTAGCAACCTTTATTTTGTGTTCTCTTATATCTCCGTGTCTGTCACCCAATTTTTGGAAATTTTCTGTATTGAATGAGGTAAAAAGAAACAGTGAGAGAATTGGAAGGCAAATTTTTTTAGCTCAACATGAACTGTTTTTACATGATATGTACTATGGACAGGCGGGGTGGTCTTCCCCAGGAAGTGACATCCTCCATACAGCTCCATTGGAATTAAAATGACTTTTGTGCTGGGCATTTTATGGGATCACAGATTGGATGTGTTTGGCCACTAATATCATTTCATCTCTGTGGTTCTAAACATGAGACTTCATCAAAGGTTTTTCATGTTGAGGTCCTAGACAATCATGCCATAAAGACAGAAGGTAAATGACTTGACAACCAACTGAACTTGGTGTATGGAGTGAAAAGGATTCAGAGCCTCTCAGTCTGGAAATTTTGATGCCATTTTACAAAAAAAAAAAAAAAATGAATTGTAGTAGAATAACACATACAGCTGCCTCTTTTTAGAAAGGTATCTGATAATGGTGCTTAAATAGTCCCTTTAGCTATACAATCTCATATACTTGGTATAGTATGTAGGTATAGCAGTTCCATTTCACAACTGAGGAAACTGGCTCAAAGTGATTTTATAGCTATTAAGGGCATAACTCTAACATGGATTTTTGTCCTAATTCGAAGCTAGATGCTCCTAATCCAGTGTTTTGCTTCAGTAAGCTGTGAGTCACTGGAATGAGACTCCTCCTTACTGGGGGACTTATGAACTGGCAGCTCATGAGCAGTGATAGCCCACCACTTGTCTCTTGTCTCCACTGTGGACAGTCCCTCCCCAATTCCAATTTCAGTCCTTACTACCTGCTACCAGAAAGCCGCACAGTACAACCACAATTTAATGTTTATACTCGCCAAACATTCTTGGATGGGCTGGTAAAATCCATTCCCCAAGAGAAAACTGTCAAAGCAATGGGCTCTTTTTTACCCCCTCCAGTGATGATGCCTTGTGAAAGCAGCTAATGATTGGTAGTTGGGTGCAGTGGCTTGGGATCCAGGAGAAAATGAACTCAATGGGAACCATGAATAAGCTGTTAAAGCCAGGTGGAAATGAGAAGTGGAGGAAATTTGGAGAAGTAGATGAAGAAGGCATTGGGGAGCACTGAGAGGACATGGAGTGAATGTGGTTGAATCATGGTTTCAGGAAACCAAGCATTTGCCCAGCTGAAGCATCACAACACCCCTCTTGCACACTGCATTCATTCCAGTGGGCAGGGATGCAGAGAGAGATCACAGGAATACTGGGGGAAAAAAGAAGTACACTAGGAGTACTCTGGAAAAGTGATTTTCTGTCTCAAATATGTGACAGCAATCTACTGCTGTGTAGGGACATTTTGATTTGCTATGTAGGAAAGGTTGAGAGTAAATGCCCAGCACCTACAGAAGGTGGGGACTGGATCAATTTTTGACTTAAGAGGACAATGCCTTGCATTAGAAAGTTGAAGGAATGTGGATTCAAGAGATTCTGGCCTTTTTTCTTCTTTTACTTGCAATTTTTAGAACCATAATTCAGCTCTACTGTATTAGGGCATGTTCCATCAAACTAAAAATCAAAAGCTTTCCTATGGGAGAAGTCTCAATGTTATAGCTGAAAAAGGTGACAGTCATATTACTGCCACCAAAAATAATTTATTAACTGTGTCTGTACAAAGAACTCTGTAGGCACAAAACCCCAGGGGCTTCCTGATTCAATGCATCCTTTGCTCTCTGCCATCTCCTCAAGAGTGCCATTCCCCTCTTCACCTGTGAATAAAATGGATACCGCATGAAAACTTCATTTTGCTGAGAGTATGACAGGACAAGAGGACGCTGGCTCCATCATCTGCTCCATACAGTGCTAGGGAAGTGTACTAGGACACTGCCATTCTCAACCTCTCCTTTTTGGCACTTGTGAATAAAAACATCTCTTCGGTTTCTACTTTCGACTAGGAAATACGGGAAGAGTTGGCAAGCAAGGTTTTGCACCATCAGCATATACCATGCTGATAATGCTCTTTACTCTTCTTTCCTTTCTATGCCACCCTGATCGCCAGACAGGTACCACGTTGCACCTGAGATACAGGCACACAGGTGCCTGCCTACACCAGGGAAAGAACCGGCATCGGAATTTCAGATAACCAACCCAAATCGTTTTACATTTTTCTCTCAAATGTGCTAGTCTTGTGACGCGTGTACCTGTGCGCACATCTACATTTAAAGAAAAAAATCATTTTTTTTTTAAGGCAAGTTATAAATGGCTTGGAGAGATCTGACAGGTCTGATCGCACAAAGGTCGTCTGCTTCACCAGCATTCCTCTCAGGAACTCAGAGGCAAAGGTGCCTCTGCATCCCGCACCCATGGCACGCAGTTAGGCAGCGGATTGCACAAGCACCCTCCCACCCGTACACGCCCCCAATCGTTCGCCCCGCAGCGTCAGTCTCTGACCCCCACTGGATCCGCACAGGAGACCTTCTCACAATCGGTCGGGAACTGCTTTTGCCACACATCGCCAACGGGGTTTTGCTTGGATCATTTATTTATCTTGTGTGCATTAAGAAACCACCATTAGGTGTTGGTGGGAGGTGCTATTCTGCCCGAATCCCAGCCCGTCCGCCGCGATTCCGCACACACACCCGCACCCGCCTGGCTGTCAGAGCCTGCCTGGAACCGCCTTTGGCCCGGGATCTGCCTCGCTCAGGACCCCCTGACGCGTTCTCCCGCTTTTTGCTCCCCAAGCTCGACCCGGCAGCGGCGCCTTAGCGTGATTTTGAATTTTCTGCCTGCTTGTTGGGTTGCTCCGGCGGGCACCCCCTTGCGCCCCCGGCCCTGGTCGTGGCACTGGCAGCGTCACTCGCTGGAGTTTGACTCTCCGGCGGCGGCGGCGGCAGTGTCGGCGCGGAGCCGCGGGCGGCGGGAGCGAGGCGAGCCCGGCCGCTCGCCCTCCGCGCTGTGCTCGGATTGGTCTCTCCCGGAGAGTGCTGGCCGAGGGTTGGCTGTGGGCCGGCTGAAGAACAGGTGCACCTCACCGCCCGGGCTCGCCGAGCAGCCGCCGAGGAACGCGGCGCGCCGGGCTAGGCGAGCGGCGGCCAGGCCGGCCCCCTGTGTCGGAATGCGGTCCACCGGCGCCGGGTACCCCGCGGCCAGCCCGCTCGGCCTGTGAAGGCTGTGCGCGGCCCGGCGGCGGCGCGGGCGGGCGCCCCAGGGAGCGGGCCGGGCGCGGCGCCCCGAGGATGCCGGCGCGGCTGGAGCGCACGCAGGCGGCGGGCAGCAGCAGCAGCGGCGGCAGCGACAGCAGTAGCAGCAGCAGCGGGCGCGGAGCCCCGGCGCGCAGGAGGCCGCTTGGCGGGCTGCAAACGCGCCCCACCGCTCCCTGACCGACCGGCGGCGCCGGGGGGCCGCTCTCGCCCCTCTTCCGCGATCCTCACCGCCCCCTCCCCGGCCGCGTCCCCTCCCCCGCTCCTCTCCTCCCCGCCCGCCGCCCGCCTCTCGGGGGGAGGGGCGTGGGGGCAGGGAGCCGATTTGCATGCGGCCGCCGCGGCCGCTGCCTGCGCCCGAGCCCGCCGCCGCCGCCGGAGCCCGCGCCCGCGCCCGCGCCCGGCCCGCGCGGCCCCATGCCTCTGGCGCGGCCCTCGGGGGGGCGAAGGTGAAGACCGGCTCCTAGGATGAGTGAAGGGGCGGCCGCTGCCTCGCCACCTGGTGCCGCTTCGGCAGCCGCCGCCTCGGCCGAGGAGGGCACCGCGGCGGCTGCGGCGGCGGCGGCGGCGGGCGGGGGCCCGGACGGCGGCGGCGAAGGGGCGGCCGAGCCCCCCCGGGAGTTACGCTGTAGCGACTGCATCGTGTGGAACCGGCAGCAGACGTGGCTGTGCGTGGTGCCTCTGTTCATCGGCTTCATCGGCTTGGGGCTCAGCCTCATGCTCCTCAAATGGATCGTGGTGGGCTCCGTCAAGGAGTACGTGCCCACCGACCTGGTGGACTCCAAGGGGATGGGCCAGGACCCTTTCTTCCTTTCCAAGCCCAGCTCTTTCCCCAAGGCCATGGAGACCACCACCACAACCACTTCAACCACGTCCCCCGCCACCCCCTCCGCCGCCGGCGCTGCCTCCTCCAGGACGCCCAACCGGATTAGTACTCGCCTGACCACTATCACGCGGGCACCGACTCGCTTTCCCGGGCACCGAGTGCCTATCCGGGCCAGCCCGCGCTCCACCACAGCACGGAACACTGCGGTCCCCCCGACGGTCCTGTCCACCACCGTCCCTTTCTTCAGTAGCAGCACGCCGGGCTCCCGACCCCCAGTGCCAGGAACCCCCAGTACCCAGGCTATGCCCTCCTGGCCCACTGCGGCATATGCTACCTCCTCCTACCTTCATGATTCTACTCCCTCCTGGACCCTGTCTCCCTTTCAGGATGCTGCCGCCTCTTCTTCCTCCTCTTCCTCTTCCTCCTCCTTCTCCACCACCACTACACCAGAAACTATCACCAGCCCCAAATTTCGTAAGTAAACACGCTGTCTCAACTATAATTTACTACCGAGTTTCCTTTCTGCTCTCCTGCTGTCTTTCCCCTTAGCTGCCTGTCTTTAACACCCCCCTGCCCCTCCCCGCCATCCCAGGTTTGGGGCAGAGCATGGAAGATGGTTCCAACTGGTCACACGGAGGGTAAAGGCGTCGGCCTGTTGTGGGACTGTGTGTGGAGTCCGGGGGATGAGAAAGGGAGGGAGATCCTCAAGCTCCACCGGTCCTACTTTAGTGGGTCCCAAATGAGAACCGATCTCCCAACTCCTTTCAAAGGGTTAACTCCAGTGTGATCCCTTCTCACTGCAGACCTGCCGGCGAGCTCCCGGATCCGGTTCCTTTAGAGGGTTAGGGAGGGAGGGTGGGCCTTCCCCAAAGCTCCCAACCCTTTCCCCGCCCGCTGCTGAGAAGGAAGGGGACAAAAGCACTCGCAAATTGACCAAGGATAAACCACAAAGGGAAGTTATGTCCCATGGGGAATGGCTATTTGTTGGGGGTGTTGGTAGAATGTAGGGAAGACGCTTCCAGTCCAGGCGGGGACCTGGAAGGGTTAATTAGAAACCAATGGGGGAGGTAGGGAAAGGAGGCGATCCTAGGCGAAGGGCTAAAATGATCACCCCTCAGCCTTTCGGTAGCCATTCCAAGGTACAGAAATTGATTGCTGGATCCTGTGTCCACTGACTGTGAGTTAACTAGAAGGATATATGAAAGGAGCCCTGCAGAGTTGCCACCTCTAGGGTTCTAAGGTCCTGTGGAAAGAGAAGGGTTCCCCCCCACCCCAATACACACTTCTGCCAAGCGTTAGCTTTTGTTCCTTTCCCAAAGGTGGGGTGTGAACCTCATCTCCTCTCAGTTCCTGTAAAATATAGGCGGTCTGGGACAGAGTTCTCTGCACTGGAGGGTGAGAACATCCAACGCTTTTGAAACATGTCACCCTTAGGAGGTAGCATGTTCACCCTGGGCGCAATTGGAGTCCGTACTGGCCAGATTAACCCGAAGCAAAACAGCATTTTATGTTTTGGAGGTGTATATTTTCTATTTTTATTAATGTTTTAGGTAGCTAATTGACCTCCCACCCCCACTCCTCACCTTATTCTTACTCTAAAGAATTCTCAGGAACCTTTTTTATCTGACTATTGATCAGGATATGGGAACAGTTTGTGCAACCTGTGAAGGTTATTTAGGACAAACCCCCAGCATGCCAGTTCAAGTTCTGTGCAAGTCTATTCTGCAAAAACTGTCAAGTTATGCTGTCTTGATACTGTATTTCTGTTTTGAGCCCTAACATCTGGGGAAAGAAAGAGTGCTCATCATTAACTCTTCCGTGCTGGTAAAAACACCCGGTTTGCTTTCAGTCATCTGGTAATTTTTCACATCACTTACCTGTGATCTTACCAAGGGTGTTATTTGACCCTTGAAACTTTTGTAAAAGATAGGATTTGTGTACTTGTTACTAAGTTCCAGAATCAAGTCCTTTTGCCTATAGTGTGCTATGGGGGGCGGGGGAGGCCAGCAGATGAATTGGGAGACAGGAAGGAAAGGGGAAGGAAGGAATCTGCCACAAGCCAGAATGGCAGTAGAGCCAGTAACTTGCAGCTCTTCTCTGCTTTGGTTGAAGCAGTCATTTCTAAGAGCACATCAGGAGGTGCTTAGAGACTCCTTTTAGCAAATCTAGCTTGAGTTTTGTGGAGGGATAAAGGATTTGCAAGTGTAGTATGAGCATATTCAATGGATTTAAAATAGGTGTCTATCTCTCTGGAAGACCCCAGATTTTTTTTTTTTAATCCTTTTGATGCAGTTGATATGAATAATGGAGTGTGGGTGTACTTCCCAACCTTGTGTGTATGCGCCTGTGGAGAGATGGCACATGATGGGGGTATTTCATGTTCTTAGTTGATTTCCTTTCATTCCATTCTTGGGAGGTCTTTAAAGAAAAGCCTAAGGTAATTATTTCTGCCTCTCTGTGCTCTCTTTCTACATCCTGTAGTAGGGAATGGCAGCCTTTTTAATAAGTAATGATTATTGACAGGGCTCTCTACCCCAAGGAAAAGAGGGGGAAAACCTGTAAATGGTGTCAGTGTTCACTAGACATATAAGCAGTATTTGCTTTATTTGTAATCTGACGTTTTCTCCGTTTTAAACCTTTAACAAGAAGTTGAATCAGGGATAAAACCAAGTATGAAAATCCAGCAGAAACTGACCTGGTTTGCATACATCAACAAGGAAAATTTTAATGAAAGGTTTATTATATAGTTTCCATAAAAAATGTAAGTTTAGATACAGATTTTTGTATGGTAATTTAAAGAAAAAACATAGTTTAATTATTTTTTTATCTAAGACTGCAGGATGATTAACAAAAGAACATAAAGATTTCATTCAAGGGATTATCAGCACTGCTGCTGTAGGCTGAATTATTGTCTGAATATCTGACATTCATATTTTTTTACTTGTTTTGATTATGTCACTAAAGTTCCCTGGAGAGAAATTTCCTTTTTTCCTGGCTTCTGTTTTTCTTTTAAATGAAAGTCATGGATGGTGCTGGGGCACCTGAGGACAGATTCAGATGATGCTCTATTTTTGTGAGACTAACCCACAAATTCTTTAATGGCCAGAGTCTTGGCTCTTGAGTTGAACATCTCAAGGCTTAAAGAATAAATTTCTTTGTGTTCATCTTCGAGCAATCAGAAGGATCTTGTGTGTAAAGGCAGCATAGCTCTTTGAAGTGGAAGAAGCTTGTTCACTAAGAATAAACACACTTGCTAATGGATAATAGGTTCCTTGCAAGCAAAAACTATTTTTGCAGTGAGGAAGGTTCAGTGTAGAAGACTGTTAATAATTTTGTGTAGAATTGAAGAAAAAATGATTGCACTTATACAGCAGGAGGATGAGAGCTTAGAATTTGATTCTTGTTTCTTGAGCCATGATCTGGACCAAAAGTTTCCTGCATGTCCCTGAAATCTCTTGGTTTCTCTGTAGGCCAGTACTTGCCTTCCCTTCAGAATCTTTAAAGACAAATATCTTAAAAATATTGCTACTAGGTGATTATTTTTCTCAAAGTCTCTTTGAATCATTTTGTGTCTGAAGTGTAGGTTAGTTTTCAAATTTTTCAAGCTAAATGTAGGAACCTATGTAAGGGAGAACACTGACTTTTGTCCAGTATACAAACAGCCTTTCTGTTTTCTAGCATTTGAAATTGTATTTTTAAATTAGAAATATTTGCACAGAGTTGCTAAAGCCAGTGGAGTCTTAGAATTCTTTTACTCAGCTGAAAGCACTGCTTGGCATGTAAAAGGCCAGAGTCACCAGTTAAATTCAAGTACAAAGACAAAAAGCACCTTTTAATGGGCTATTTTTAGGGTCATATTTGGAAGGTTATATAGTTATTTCCAATGAATAATATTCCAAATATTGAATAGTATTTAGAAAAGAAATGAATGTAAATGGATCAGTGAAGTTTAAACAAGATATGGAGATAATTTTCATTTACTCACGTCTATTTAAATAAAACTTTACCCAATCACACCTATTGCAATTTTTAAAAGCATTGATGACATCAGTAATTTTCCTGTTTATTCTTTCCAATATCTCCACTCCTTCACTTCAATAAGAATATTCTTGGTTCTTTTGTAAGCAGGCTCAGATGTAGTTCACTTAAATAAAGTTACCCTGAACCTGATGTTCTGTCTATATGAGTCAAGGCCTTCAAAGGAATTCCAGCATAGAGGGTACTGACCCCAATCATGCATAGTAGCCAAAGTGAGAATATTCAAAGCTGAAGATCAATATTTCTTATGCAATCCAGTTGTGAGCTTTTTTATGAGTGCTTGCTGCTATTTGAGTATGTTTTAATTTCCTTTGGCCTCAATGCTGGGATTATGGGACTTTTTTGCTTTAATCAGTTCACTGTACAGTTTTGCTCTTTGGATACTTAAGTTGAATTTCATAGTTCAACAATAGTAACAACAACAACAACAACAAAAATATTAACCACCACCACTACAACAACAGAACAAAACCAACAATAAAAACTAGCAAGGTTAGACATAGGTTGGCAAGACTATTTTGGGGGCTCTTTGAGTTTGGTCTTAGTGCATTAAGACAAAGTGGTTTAAACTTTCTTCTTGAGGTGATTTTGCTAGTGAAGAGTCCCTTTTGAAGGATTGATTTGTGAATCCACATTTGTATTTGTGCTGTTTTCCTGGATAGACTTTAAAATACAGTGTTGATCCACAAACGTATAAGAAGAAAAAAAATCAACAGAAATAAACAAATTTTGTCAATTTTTCTCACTGTTACTAAAGAGCTCAGCTTTTCTAAATCTAGACTGGGTCACAAGCAGAGTTTTTTTTTTTTTTTTTTCTTTTCAGAGTTTGAATCAATGCCATTCTGGGCAATCCAGTGTGCATAGGAACAAAATCTCTCCTCCCTTGTGGATCTTCCCAGCCCTTCCTTCTGGTCTTACCACAATAAAAAGAAAACCGATTTTCAATTTATTTCTTTGGTAGAATTTTTTTTTCTCATAACCTCTCATATTCACTACCAAGCATATCTCAATATTCTATCTGGGTTGTCGAAAATGGAACATGAAAGTTGGCCCTGAAATATATAAGAGCAAGGGAAAAGTCATAAATCTAAGTCTTCAAAATGCTTTGGAATTGCTTCTGAATAGGACTGAAATTCATCTCGCGTTCTTTCAATCTGTTTTTATCTTCAGACCTGTGTATTGGGCAAGGCACAGCACTGGTGTTACCTTGACAAATACCACTGTTTTGAGATTCTAGAAACTCTACTCACCTACACCTAGGAAAGCTCCAGAACCAGGTACACAGTGAAGGCAGAAGGCAGGAAGGCACTCAGTTTGTAATGGACTCAGCTTTGTAATGTCAGAGTGAAAGCATATACAAGAGTCGTTTCCTATTCATTTGAATTGTATCAAAGTTTGTTTTTTTTCCTTTCACTACTTGTTCACTGAAGATTTTA